TAAGGCGGATTTGGCAAAACCATCACATCGCTCGCTCGCACTCAACTTGTTGCCACCTCGTTCAGGTGTGAAGGCGAGCTATCTGCCCAGTGGTGATTCCTAGCGTTGCTTCGTGTCATTCCGGCTTAAGGCGCATCTCAGCACATCCTTGTCAGGTGTAGTTTCAAAATCAAAACCAAGTGGCGAGAAACTGCTTATTTGTCACACCCGGCGTCGGGCCTATCTTGCTCAAAAGCCGTCCGATAGTGTGCTCCATCGAATGAAAGAATCGCTGACGAAACTGGTATGCCTTTCGAAGACGAAAGAGACGAATAAGCATGCTCCGGGGCAGCGCGTCATGGAGTACGGCTATGCGGCTTGTTTTGTACCAGCTCTTTCTGCTGCGACTCGGAGACAGGTCTGCGTCGGACACGACATGCGTGCTCGGCGCTTCTCCAGCTGGCATCAGTCATTTTAATTGCCAAAGACTAAGCGCGTGATACATAAGACATTCTTCGCTGTTCTTGACGGCCTCGTTTGACACTTCATATTTTCCAGACCATTTGACGTGCGGCTTGTATGTTCTATTTCGATTGGACAGTTTTATTTAGCGGCGTCCATGTCACTAAGTACTGTGTTTTTGATAGATCTTTTATCTACCTTCCATGGCGCTGAGGTACATTTCTGATCCATTGCGATCGCTCACCTTCTGATTTAAAGGCCTCAGAAAAGACTTGCATTGTCCCCGTCACGTTGGACATTAAAAGCGTTTCCTGATGTGAAGGTACGCGCAAAGGGTTCTCGGAGAAAGTTTGGACGTCGCGAGGCAATGTAGAAAAGCTGCTATCTTTGCTATTGCTCTCATTCCTTCAGAACATCGCATGCGGCTGGCTTATACAGGGTCAGGAGCTACTAAGTGTCAACATCGGAAGCATTATTGCATCGAGAGAGCCGGTTCTAGCGTGCTTTTTTTTCCGCAAAGATGACGGGCAGCAGGAACAACACTGCGAAATCAAGATTTGCAACAACGTAAGCAAGAACTACAGAATATAACCCTCAACTCTGTCATCACGCGCGGAACGGTCTAGCATACGGGAAAAAAAGCGGGCAAACAGCCAGAATCAACAAGAGAAATTGAGGTCGAATGCTCAAGGCAGGACGCAAAGAAGCGCGACGCACTCGGGAATGTGTACAAGCAAAAGAAAAGAGAAGGAAACCGACGGTGACCCTCAATACGAGGCTCAAGCTACATTGTATCAAATGAACAAGGTAGCTTCGAGGGCGGTGTCAGGTAAAAAAGGGTCCAAGCTTCACAGCACCTAAAGAATCTCTTTTCTCTTCCAGTTGAAAAAGCGTCAATTTTGTTTTTCATTTTGTTCACTTTCGTCGAATCGCAGGGTTCAGCACATTAGCTGAAGTTTCCTCTCTTGAGTGACACGCAAGCTGTCTGCAAGTTTTTTCCGTGATCCATTTGGGCAAGTTCAGTGCCAATGCTTCCGG